CGAACGTATTCTTCTCTGTTACTCGGTGTGTGGCACTTGCTCACGATCCAAACAACATCTTTATCTTTCTGTTCAAGGAAATCGTTGTCATGAGTCTCAACTGGTAAAGTTCCTTCACAGATGTGTCCATAACGTACCGGTATGTCCGAATCTTCACGATAAGTCATTATCCAGTTGAACAATCCATCGATTTTCTGCCAAGGTAACTTGATAAGTCTTGGAGCTTCTATTCCATAAAGAATCCATCGTTGATGCAGACGCCTCTTGTTCGGCAGTTTCACATTTGACTTAAAGTTTGTGATATGAAAGAGAACAGCATCTACTGACGTAAGCAGCTTTCGATCTGCGGTAACAGTACATTGGTATTGACAGTTGTAACGAGAGAATGTTTCGTTTCCAGGCAAGAAAAAGTAATAATCGTCGGTAAACTGTGTACTAAAAAACTTAGTCCAGAGCAAAATAGATATTGTGTTTTGTGATCTGGATGAATTGGTTAATAAGGGAATGTTAACAAGGCGAGGCTGTCTTGGAGCAGCAACACTGACAGCTGAATCTGGACAAGAAAAATATGTTTCACCGAAGTAATTTGATTGTTTCTTCTGTAACACATTCTTTCCATTATAAAAACACCAAAATATTCCAAGGCCAGTAATAAGGCAGAGAACAAGTAGTATGTTTTTCATGTTTGATAAAGGCAATGTCAAGGATATTTCCACCATCCTGGAATCAATTCAAATCTTATTAACGATAAAGAGACATTAAGGATATTAAAAAATCCTATTAAACTTGTCCTACGTAAATAATAACTTATTTACTCAATTATTTTTTAATAATTACACGTATCTAAAGAAGTTAAAAGTAACTAAGAATTTTAACCAACGCAATGATGAAATTCGAAACTCGACAACAAAAGAATCCAAAAAGCTTCTATAGATTTAAAGAAAATATATTCGCTTTTAATTACAATAACGGCAGTGAAATAGCAAGGATACCGTACCTTCGATAATTTTGGGGAGAAAATTTGTTATACAACCTGTCAGTGGTTGTAGGACATCTGCCCCCACAGGCATATCTTCTGACATCTTCCGGCTATTCTTTACTACTCATGTCACGAAGTTTTAGCGACTTATATTCCTATTTTAATTCAAGTACTTTTTCTTTTTGTTATACCAATTAGTCTTATAGTTCAAGTGTACTAACGCTCATAACTTTAACATGAAACCTGTGTTATTTTCTCCTACATAAATATGTACTTACGTTATATGACATTGCATAGTTCAACATTTTTATTTTATTACAATAAACAAAAGTTAACACGAAACCTGTGTTATTTTCTCCTACTTAAACAGTTTTAGATATTTCAATTTTCTATGAAATGCAAGAAATATATGTTTGGTTACTATTTCAGTCAATTATATTAATATAATAAGATATGGCTGCGGGGGTAACAAACTATCTACCCACAGTTTAAATTCTTATATTAATATTATTGATAGGATAAATAATAAACTGTTTACCCACAATTTAAAGTGCTATATTAGCATTATTGATAGAGTAGCTTGACAACTGTTTTTAACATTATTGATAGATTAAATTTATTGTACAAACAGAAGTTAGTTTGTATTAGATATTTTGTGCAACGTTATATAGCTGTGTGTTGTTTTAGTGTTAGCATGACTTCTTACAATCCTTAAGCACAATTCATAAAAACTTTCAACGGGCCTAAAAAAGTCGGTTTCTGATATACGTAAATCTTAAAACAAACATATTACCTGGTTGGTTACTTAGTGAAGTGACTAGAATTCTTGTTCAGTAACAAACATTATATTAAGGTTCAAATACTGTTGGAACTCATTAATTTGGTTTTGTGATTATTTGTTTGCGTTTTATTGTAACGGAATGTTGGAGTATGGTGAGTCGATGTCAAACGCGATTGAGTAGATAATTAGAAAACCCTAAACTCTCTTCAACCATAAATTAATTGTTTGTGTATTCTTGACAAAAACAAGTAACCAAGG